GAGATAAATTGATAATATGAACAGCTGTGGAAACTGCTTCAGCCCAAAAAGATCTAGGCAACTTCGCATCATCAAGCATGCATCTAACTCTCTCCATAATATTCCGGTTCATCCTCTCTGCTAAGCCATTTAACTGAGGAGTCTTAGGAGGAGTTTTCTGATGTCTAATACCGTGCATTCTGCAATATTCATCAAATGGGCCACGGTATTCACCACCATTATCAGTTCGGATGCACTTCAATTTCTTCCCTGCCCGTCTCTCAACAAGAGCATGAAACTCTTTAAACACACCGAACACATCACTTTTGTGCTTCAAAGTGTAGACCCAAAGCTTCCTAGAATAATCATCAATAAAGGTCACAAAGTAAGACGCACCTCCAAGTGACCTAACCTTCACTGGTCCACACACATCAGAATGTACCAACTCAAGTGGCTCTGACCTCTTCGAAGGAGGATTGCTCATGAAAGAAACTCTTTTCTGTTTCCCCGCCAAGCAATGAACACATCTGTCCAACCTAGCTTCTTTTACCCCTGAAAGCTTAATCATCTTGGCAAGACAATCAATCCCATTCACACTCATGTGGCCAAGTCGTTTATGCCACAATTCCGATGCACATTCTTTTGCTGCCACATTCACTGAATCACCAGAAATAAAGCTTTGCAAAGAGTACAAGTTAGAAGACTTCTTACCTTGTGCAATAACCAGTGAACCTTTAGTGATTTTCCAATGTCCATCACCAAAGAAACAACAGAAACCATCATCATCAAGCTTTCCTGTAGAAATAAGATTTAGTTTGATACCTGGTGCATGCTTTACATTTTTAAGTACCAGCTTTGTGCCATTGCTTGTCTCAAGGCAAACTGTACCAGTACCAATCACCTTCACCTGACCATCATCACCCATTTTTAACTCTCCATAGTCACCTGGAGTATATGAAGTAAAGAATTTCTTCCTTGGTGTGACATGGTAGGATGCACCTGAATCCACAATCCAAGTTGTTTCGTGGCATGCAACGTTGATGACGTCCTCATCACAAGCAACAAGTAAATCTGCTTTAACTGTTGCAACCTGGTTCTCGGTATTATCATCTTTCTTGTCTTGCTTCTTATCCCTTTTCAACTTGAAGCAATTTTTCTTGATGTGTCCTTTCTTGCCACAATAATGACATTCAACATCCTTGTGCCATGACCTTGACTTACTTCTGCTTTTATCTCTACCCTTCTGACCCCTTTGTTTATTTCTCCCCTTATCATTTGTAACCAAAATATCTGACTGAGAAGTGGAGGTGTCTTGAGATTTTCTTCTTGATTCTTCATTCAAGATACCACTCTTGATATACTCCATGGTTACAACACCGTTGGGAGCAGAATTGGTCAAAGAAACCCGAAGTGTTTCCCAAGAATCAGGTAGAGTGTTAAGCAACCAGAAACCAAGTACCTCATCCTCAAATTTGATGCCCATGCTAGACAACTGATCAAGAACACCCTAAAAATCATTGACATGATCATTAATCAATGTACCTTCCCTGAATCTTAGATTCATCAATTGTTTTAGCAAAAACAATTTGTTATTGCCTGTTTTGGAAGCATACAGGGTCTCAAGTTTATCCCACAGGCTTCTGGCATGTGTCTCGTTGATAATGTGATTCATAACATTATCTTCAACCCATTGGCGAATATAACCACAAACTTGTTGGTGCTCAAAGTCCCACTCTTCGTCTGACATGTTTTCTGGCTTTGCAGTTGCAAACACAGGTAGATGTAATTTCTTCACAAACAGAAGATCCTTCATCTTGGCCTTCCAAATGTGATAATTTCTACCATTCAATCGTACCATATTACTCATATTTGTCTCCATGTCAAATGTACCCAATCAACAACCAGGGCTCTGATACCACTTTGTTGGGAAAATCCCACTTCCTGTGACAATGAAAAATCACAGAACCGACAGGAGCACAAACACAAGATGATACACAATATCTAAAAAATAAATAACAAAGCAAGGAACACAAGATTTACGTGGAAACCCCAAAACCACGGGGGAAAAACCACGGGACCACCACCAACAACAATTCCACTATAACAAATCTCGGGTACACAAGTTCAGGCTACCACACGAGCCATACATCCACAAATCATCAAATACACCAATTCTAGGCCAAATACATCCTTTAAAATTCACAGGCTAAATAGGAATAATATCGCGTACGTACTCAAAATATTCAACTACTACGAACAAGATAAAATGAATATAAGTAGTACGAGATTACCCAAAGGATGCCTGGAATAAATATAAGTTGACCTTCAAAAGGTTGATGAATAAAGCACCCAAGAGCTTAGGCGAACTCACGCCAAAGCAACACCAAACTTGCGTCAAAGATGAAGAAACAATTGAAGATGGTTTCTTCCTTTCTGCTACTGCCGAACTACCTAATGAAAAGTGTATGTGGAGTTGTCTTTTTCTCTCATATATGTGTGTGTGCAGAAGAATGAATAAGCTCCATTGTATATAGCTTCACTTGAGATGGCAATTTATGAAGAGGAATAAATGAAATTAATTTCTTCACCTCTTCACATGCAAGACTCTTCTACTTCCTCAACTTCCAATATTATTATTATTATATAAATAATAATAATTATGACTCAAAAAATATAGTGGATACAAATTGGTTTGGTCCAAACATGAACTATTTACCACATAAGAGGGAAGCTCAACCCAACAGGTTGTTACTTTTATCCTTTCAAGATGAATACATACACAGTTTTTCCCTTTCATACTCCCTGCTACTGCTTCGTCTGAACCTTCAACTCCACAACCAAACAAACTTTTCTTGATCATCATATATACTATCTATCAGTCTGTAGTTTGAGTGGTAAATCTAACTTCAAACGTCACCAACTTTTGCTTCTTGTCTGCTGTTCTTCATCCTCATTGTCCAAGGTAAAACGACAAAAACCGAAACATAAATGTCCCAATCCCAGAATGTAACAATCCATTTACCTTGGACAATGAGGATGAAGAACAGCAGACAAGAAGCAAAAGTTGGTGACATTTGAAGCTAGATTTCCCACTCAAACTACAGACTGATAGATAGTATATATGATGATCAAGAAAATTAAAGTTTGTTGGGTTGTGAAGTTGAAGGTTCAGACGAAGCAGTAGCAGGGAGTATGAAAGGGAAAAGCTGTGTATGTATTCATCTTGAAAGGATAAAAGTAGCTCCCATGAAAAGAAGGTACGTAGATAAGCACAAGACACTTACACAAGTTATTTAGAGCCCTGGCAAGAAAACAAACGGGGTTAAGAAGAATTTCCATGAAAGGGAAATGAGATGAGAGGACCAAACCAGTTAATCGTAACTTTTTTTTTTTCAAGGATGACTCAATCCTTTTCTAAAAAGCAAAGATATATATTAGAGAATGAAAAGTATAGTTTTAAAAACGAATACTAAAAACCCAAATGGCCCTCTTTTTAAAACAGCTTTTCCATTTATTTTTTTTATCCATGTATACACATCATGGTGCGTGACTTATTGGGATACACGTTTGAGGAGGAATTAAAGCTGACCAAATACGCATGCGTTTTACGCAAAGCACACTTTTCCATCTTTGGTGTCCTCATAAGGGTTGATGATAAAATGGTCTCACTAGAATCAGGCTTAACTATGTTTGACCAGATCTGTGAAAAAAACACCTAGTTTATCCAACAACTTTAGCTTCAAATTTGTAAAACAGTTTGCGATCCAAGTTTTCTATAACATTGCTAGGCAGGGACGAAGACACGATTATATGAAGAGGGGGGCGAAACACGATTTAAGAGTGAACAATTAAATACATTAATATTTATTTAATATAACCAAAATACATCACTACATTACAAATTTACTAAAATTTAGAATGTATATCTTGCATACCACAAAAATCATTTATAATTGAATATATACTAAATTGTTTTGCAATTTGCTTTTCAATTTTTCCATCTATATCGGGGTGGGGCTACTGGTCTTCGAGTTCGCGCTTTATGGCATTTCCACTATAAAAAAAATCCAATCCCTCACTAACAAACAAGTACAAATAGTACGAGAATACCTAGATGACGAAAATAAATACTAATTGGCTTTCAAAATATTTGATTAAGATATAGCACCTAAGAACTTAGGCAAACCCATGGAAGGAGCTAAGGCAAACCCAGTAACCCATGGAAGGAGCAAAGCAAAAATGAGTTCTGACTAAAAGTGGAGAGTGGAGAATAAAGTAAAAGAAGATGGTTTTCTTTGCTTCTCTGCAAAACAAAATAAAGAAGAAAAAGTGGAGTAGTAAAATAGAGAGTTGAAGTGGAGTAGTCTTTTCAAAAAAAAAAAAAAAAAGAGAATTTGTGGTCTTAATAACTCTTGAGAAAAGAGAATGAAGAGTGAAAAGTTACCACAAAAAAAAAAAAAAAAAATAGCAGTCCACATGCATTGCTGCCTGACTACCTCTCATAAATGTCCCAATCTATTTATGTTTCTGTTTTTGTCCTTTTACCTTCGACAATGAGGATGAAGAACAACAGACAAGAAGCAAAAGTTGGTGACATATTGTCGGATTTTTGGTCAAAGAAAATTTAGGTAAATTATATACATCTTAGGAATAACCATAGCTCTCTCTGTATTTTGATGGAGTCAGGTTGACAACTTATATTAGAAGTTTCATGTTTATTATTTTACATATTATTTTATTAATAAAACTTTAAGGGTGATATTTTATTCATCAATTTACTTAAAATAAATATTATAACTTTTTATATGGATTGTTTAATGTGTGTGATTCATGTTAGAGGATAAATATATAGAATAAAAGAGATGAGGCTAGCTTTGTAATTTTCCATCTTTCCATCTTTTGTCTGTTATAACCGCTGGTTATAAACCAGCCTTGGGGCCATCTCAGCAATAAGAATTCACTTTACCTTTCTCATCTTCAATGTCAATTGCAACTCATAAGCTTCCATAACGCCGTCCAACATGGTATCAGAGCGCCGATCGGGGACCTATGCCGCCGGCGTATCAGGCGTCGGTGAATCAGATCGAGAGGCGCAAGCAAGCTCACATCCTCCAGCTCACAACACTCCGATAACAGCTCCGCAGAGGAGCCTATTCACGCAGAGAAATCAAACTCCAAAAAACTTGGAGAATCCTCTGTTGATCAATGTCAACGAGAATCCGAATGCTATTCTGGTCTCACCTGCACTGACTGGAAGTCCGAACTATGGAACGTGGAGCATATCTATGAGGATTGCGCCGGCGAACAGTCAGCCGGAGTTTCCTGCTTGGCGGAGATGCAATCTGATAGTATGTTCATGGATTTTCAAGGCCGTGCATCCGTCTATTGCTCAAAGCATCATTCATATGGATAAGGCGAAAGATGTTTGGGAAGATTTGCGAAGAAGATTCTCCCAACGCGATCCACACCGTATATCAACTTTGCAGAGTCAGATCTATACGCTGAGACAGGGAAATATGAGTGTTAATGAATACTACACGAAGTGTAAAACTCTTTGGGAGGAAATGAGTGATTTGAGGCCGCTTCCTATATGTAAATGTGATCCAAGGTGCCACTGTAACGTCATAGATACAATACGTGAAGAACGTGAAGTTGATCTGGTAATCAGATTTCTCCAAGGACTGAGCGATGATTATACTAGTCTGAGATCAGGTGTGCTTGTGATGGATCCTTTGCCGGAAGTGTACAAAGTTTTTGTTATGGCAGAAAAGCTTGAAAGACAACTAAATCTGGAAAAATTGAGTCTAGGCAGCCTGGAGATAAGTCATGCCAATAGTGTGCAAGGTTCTCAACAAACAGAAGAAATAGTAGCTGCTATTAATGGCTATAATGGAAGAAGAAACACTGGAAACTATAACAGTAAGGGAACAACCAAATGCATTTTCTGTGGGATGACCAGACACATCATAGAGAAGTGCTACAAGAAGCACGGATATCCGCCCGGTTGGATACCGGGCTACAAGTCTGAAAACAAGCAGAATGCCTTTGCAGCATCAGTAGACACCAATAGCTCATCAACTGTTAATAATATAGCAGATTTGGGATTTACTGCTGAACAGATGCAAAAATTCATGGCTCTCTTTCAGTCTCAGTGCACACAAGGGGTTAGTCCTAACACCACTGCAACTGTATCTCTTGTACCAAACTTCACTAAAGGTGAATCTGCAAATGTAGGCAAGTATGTTACATCCCATGTTAATTCTATTTCTCTCTGCACTTCTACTTGGATACTTGATACCGGAGCAACCGATCATATTGTGTGTTGTCTTGACTTCTTTATTGATTATCAAGTAGTTACTGGGGCAGAGGTTAATCTACCAACTGGAACACGTGTGGCTGTTAAACATACAGGGAATATAAAGATTGGAAACAATCTTTGGTTGAAAGATGTTATGCATATCCCCTCATTTCGATTTAACATCATATCTGTTAGTAAATTACTCTGAGATACAACTCATAAAATGGTTTTTTCATCTGATCAGTGTGTGATTCAGGAGATTACTGGGAGAACGATTGGTATAGCTAAGCAGCATAGGGGGCTATATTTGTTGATGGATCCACATGAGCAAAGTGTTAATCTGCCTAAGCATTTTGCAATGTCTAGTGTTAGTACTGATATATGGCACCAAAGATTGGGCTATTTTCCAGTAAATAAAATGCATTTGTTGAAAGGTGTTTCCCTGCATTCTAATAAAACTTTAGCTTGTGATGTTTGCCACCTCGCCAAGCATAAACGTTCTGTTTTTCCTTTAAGCACTAGTACTACAAATGCATGTTTTGACTTGATACATGCAGATATATGGGGTCCATTTGTTGTTTCTTCCATGAAAGGTGAATTTTACTTCTTGACTTTGGTCGATGACCATTCGAGGTTTACTTGGATACACCTTATGCAACACAAATCTGAAGCAAGACCCTAATCAAAGGTTTTTATAATATGGTACTCAACGGTCCGGAGTTTAGTATGACAGATTTCTTTCATGAAAATGGCATCATTCATCAGCGGTCTTGTGTAGAAACTCCACAGCAAAATGCGATTGTTGAAAGAAAACACCAACACATACTTGGTATTGCTAGAGCCTTGCGTTTTCAAGCTCAACTGCCTCTTGATTTCTGGGGCCATTGCGTTCTGCATGCCACATTCATAATTAATCGGCTTCCATCACCGGTTATACAAGGGCTCACTCCCTACTGCAAGTTGTATGGCAAGGATGCCAATATTGATATGCTCAAAGTCTTTGGTTGCTTGTGCTATGCTTCCACGTTATCTCGTGGCATACATAAACAAGCTCCTCGCAGCAGGAAGTGTGTTTTTATTGGTATGCCGGCCAATGTTAAAGGATACATCTTATACGACATTCAACAAAGATCTACTTTTGTGTCTCGGGATGTAATCTTTTATGAGAATCAATTCCCATATGCCAAAGAGTCTCCTCAAGATGAATCAGCCACAGAGACACTCATTCCTTCACTGCCTAATATTCCTGTTTCCATACCTATATCTTATGAGCAGATTGGGTCGAAGCAGGTCCATAATGCTATGCCTAACATTGGGCTTAATATAGACATGACTACCAGCATGGAACAAGTAGAAGATTTGGGGGCAGTTCATGATCATCCAGGTATCGAAATGGATGAATTGCAGGCCTCTAATCATCAGAATAGCCCTATGCAACCTCCCAGACGATCCACCAGGATTCGACAAGCTCCCAATCACCTAATGGATTACTACTGTGATACTGTTATGAGGCATGGCTCATCACCTCATCCAGTACCAAAAGTAGTCTCTCTGTTACATCTTGATCATGTTCACAGGGCCTTCTCGATGGCAGTCACCAATATCAGTGAACCACGATCTTATAACCAAGCCATCAAGCTTGACTGCTGGAAAGATGCCATGAGTACAGAGATTAAAGCACTTCAAGACAACAAAACCTGGGAATTAACCACTCTGCCTCCCGGTAAGATTCCCATAGGGTGCAAGTGGGTTTATAAGATCAAATTTAAAGCAGATGGAACTGTGGAGTGGTACAAAGCTCAATTGGTAGCCAAGGGCTACAATCAACAGCTCGAGGTGAATTACATTGAGACGTTTTCTCCAGTTGCTCGTCTCACCACCATTCGTTCATTCCTAGTTGTAGCTACATCAAATGATTGGCATGTCCATCAATTGGACATCAACAACGCCTTCTTGCATGGGGATTTGCATGAAGAGGTCTATATGACACTGCCTCCCGGTTTCCAAGCTACTCAACCTAATCAGGTCTGCCGGTTACTTCGTTCTCTATATGGCCTGAAATATGCTAGCCGTCAATGGAACGCGAAACTTACTGCTGCCTTGATAGACACTGGTTTTATCCAATCAAAGTCGGATCCTTCTCTTTTCACTAAGGGCTACGGTTCATCATTCATTGCCATTTTAGTTTATGTCCATGATATTCTAGTTGCAAGTGCAGACATCCATCTCATTCATGATCTAAAACACTTTCTGGACACTGCTTTTAAAATAAAGGACCTTGGCAGTTTGGGGTTCTTCTTGGGCATTGAGGCTAATAGGTGTAAAAATCTGGCTTGAATTTATGCCAGCGTAAGTACACCTTGGATATTCTCAATGAAGCTGGTTTCATCGACTGTAAACCTGCTAGCACTCCGATGGTTCCTGGCCACCATTTACGGCATGGAGATAGTGAGGCTTTGCAAGATGTTGGTTCTTACCGAAGATTAGTGGGGAGGTTGCTTTACCTCACAGCTACACGGCCTGACATTAGCTACGCCGTTCAACAGCTAAGCCAATTCATTGATGCCCCGACTAAGAAACATCTCGTAGCTGTTCATCGTGTGTTGCGCTACATTAAGGCTGCACCCGGCCAAGGAATTTTCTATCCAGCAAACAATCCTATACAGTTGAACTCTTTCTCAGATTCTGATTAGGCTTCTTGCATGGAGACTCATAAATCCATAATCGGCTACTGTGTCTTCTTCGGCAGTGCTCTGGTTTCCTGGAAATCGAAGAAGCAGGCTACAGTTTCGAAGTCCAGTTCCGAAGCAGAGTATCGAGCATTAGCCACCACTGTGTGTGAACTTTAGTGGCTTCACTCTCTGCTCCAAGATCTACATGTTCAGTTGGCAAAGCCTGCCACCTTGTTTTGTGACAACAAATCCGCTGTGGCGATAGCTAAAAATCATGTCTTTCACGAACGCACTAAGCACATCGAGATTGATTGCCATGTCGTCCGTGAAAAAGTCTCCCAAGGTTTCATCAAGCTTCTATCTGTTTCCTCTGAGAATCAGGTTGCCGATGGTTTTACAAAGTCTTTACCGATTTCTCCATTTTGCTTGTTTGTATCTAAGTTGGGCGTTCAAAACTTACACGCACCAACTTACGGGGGGTGTTAGAAGATAAATATATAGAATAAAAGAGATGAGGCTAGCTTTGTAATTTTCCATCTTTCCATCTTTTGTCTGTTATAACCGCTGGTTATAAACCAACCTTGGGGCCATCTCAGCAATAAGAATTCACTTTACCTTTCTCATCTTCAATGTCAACTGTAACTCATAAGCTTCCATAACGCCGTCCAACAATTCATTTGTTAACTCTTCCACCTCTGCAGTAAAGAACGTCTATAATAGCTCTAAAAGGAGTTATGGGGTTATCGAGAGGGTGAAATAAGTTTCTCGCATAAAAAGATCATGAGTTTAATTTTTGTTGAGCATATCGTATAAAACTTTTCTAATGCAAGTTATCTCTCGATTTGAGAGCTATTAGTCTATTACACATAAACGAAGTTCTTCAAGTGCACACCATGAAGGACAAGATTATAAAAAGTTGAGTGATATTCATAAGGGAAAAGGTACAAATAGGCCATTGAACTATTTGGGGATAGCAATTAAGCGAGCATTTGACAAAAAAAAAAAAAAATTAAATTAGTGTAGTTTTAAATTTTAAAAATTAAAAACTTAAGTTTTAATTTAAATAATATACATACATATATATATATATATATATATTTATTTATTTATTTATTTATTTATTTATTTATTTATTTTTAATTATAGTAATTATTCAGGGATGGGGCAGGTAGTGGTATCCCCCTCCCCGTTTTCGTTCTCCAAAAGTTTTTTCATCACTGTTCCCATCGGGGACGAAACAAATTACCATCCCTATTTAGCACTGATGTCATTTCATTAAATATAAATAAATAAATAAATAAATAACTATATATATATATATATATATATATATATATATATATATATATATATATATATATATATATATATATATATATATATAGGGTCAGGTTCCTGTGAGGTCAGGTATTCCCGTGCGGTCAGTGCGGCATACACCATTAGGTATGTAAAAATGTACTACACAGTGTTCGTAAATACACCATTATGTGTTGTGTATTTTTTTTTTTTTTTTGTGTGTTGTATTTTTTGACATTTCATTCTGGTGTATTTTCGAACACTGTATGTTGCATTTATACATACCTAATGGTGTATGCCGCACTGACCGCACGGGAAGGCATGACTTCCCACGAACCAAAAAAAAAAAAAAATATATATATATATATATATATATATATATATATATATATATATATATATATATTTTTTAAATTAAAATTTATGATTTTAATTTTTTAAATTAAAAACTACACTAATTTAGTTTTTTTTTTTTTTGGTCAAATGTTTAGTTGGATAATAATAATAAAAAACTAAAAAATAAAAAATACACATGACATCCTAATCATCACAAACTTGTTAGTAACCTACTAAAAATGTTAATTGTACCTTTTTTAGGTTCATGAATCAATTTGGAGCTTATTCGAGTTCGATGGCTTAATTGCTATTCCCGAAATAGTTCAATGGCCTATTTGTACCTTTTCCCTATTCAAAAATACGCATAAAATATTATACTCCATAATATTTATCACAAATTATATTATTAAAATAATATTTTTACCCTACATTTTTAGCGTGGGTAAGCTACTTAAGCCCATGCCTGCAAATTAATATGCAATTGCATTCCAAAAAGATATACTATAGAAATGAGGTTTTATATAAGATAAAAGTCCAACTTAATAACTACAGATCGGAATACTTTATATTATAATTTGATGGAATTATTGATCGCTGAATTTACTCGAATATGCAGTCAGTATATTTGATTCTACCCTAGTGGTGCTCCACATCGATCTCAATGTTGAGGTGGAATGCACTTACGATACTGGACTCACCAGGGTCGGTTTTTAGATTTTTGTGGCCCTATTTGAGTAAATAAATAAGACCTTACCAAAATTAAAATCTTTAAAATTAATACTATAATTTTATTATCTAAATATATAACTAAAAAAATAAAAAAATATCCGTGCGTCGCACGTACATTGCACGAATAATTGGGCAATTATTTTGCTCAAATTCAAGCAAGGATAACATAAAAAAACAATGGATAAAACTCATATAATATTCGTTGTTATAATTTAAAGATTATAACATATCTTTTCCGTGCGGTAAAAATAGACATATTATGGAATAATAATAGTGTGCACAAGTTTTGAACCTTAGACTTCAAAGTTAAAATACAACAAATACATGTTCCTACCATTTCTTTATAAAGTCTCTTATGTTTAATTAAAAATTTTTAATTTTTATTTCTAAACTAATTAGGTAAAAATAAAATATTGAGCTTCTAAAATTTGGGGCGCTGTGCGGTAGCCCAGCTTGCACAGCCCAAAATCCGGGCCTGGTTTTACGCAAAGCACACTTTTCCATCTTGTATGTATACTATATGTACTCTATAGGGGTGTTAGCGAACAGAGCTTTCGGCAAACTACTCGTGTTCGTGTTCGGTAAGCGTTCGTTTATGTTTGTTGTTAAGGTAAACGAAAATTAACAAACAAAATTTAGAGCTCGGTTA